ACATAAACCTTCTTAACAACTGCAAAATCAAGATCAATCAAATATGTGGTATAAATTCCATAGTACTGAAACTGCATCTGTATTTTCAAATTAAAGCCTCATTGCAATAAACTACAACATGATTTTCGATAATTGTGTTACCTTCCGTGTGAGGACCCCTAAACTTACCTGGTGTTGGGTTTATGCAAATTGTCCCACAACCATTTGAACAACATTTTTGGAATGCTGCACATGATTCATCAGTGCTGCAATATTGTACACAAGCTCCAATTTTACCTTGTTGAACAGCAGGGCAGTGGCCAGGTTTGATTACTGCAAAACAATACATACGTTTTAAAGCACCTTCTTTATAATATGATCTGGTTTCCCCCATAATATATATCTACATCAGGGAAGGGCGATTGGTTTCTAAAAACATGTAATTGAAAATGCCAGATAATCCTTCACAGAGTAACACAAGATACCAACATACTTGTTGTTTAGAAGTTCTTTTAAATATTTTTATACAAAAGATTATTCTGACTGCTTTTCAAAACTTACTATACTGTTTGGAAACTACTTACATGGTTCAGCATCAACACAAACACGTCCACATCCATTACTGCAACACTTTTTGTCTCCATCACAATGTTCATCGCCATTGCACTCTTGTGTACAGATGCCGACCATGCCCGGATGTATGGCTGGGCACACTCCTTGTTTAGTAACAGACACAACATCGACACATACATGCCCACAACCATTGCTACAACATTTCTGGAACTGCGAGCATGAATGATCATTTTCGCATGAATCACTGCAAATTCCCACATGCCCTGCTGGAACAGCTGGACATTCACCTGGTTTTGGACCTGTCATATAAACATATTCATAAATATTATAACAGGTATTTGCTGGGATCCTTGAAACAGCTAACATTTAAATAAAAATTATTGCTTGATTTCATAGGATAGAGAACCAAAACGTGAACAGATTGATATCAAATACTGGAAATATCACACTCACCTGGTTGAGCATCAATACATACACGTCCACATCCATTACTGCAACATTTCATGCTTCCCTCACAATGTGCATCATCGTAGCATTCCATATTGCATGTCCCCGCCTGCCCTTGTTGAACCACTGGGCATACACCATCTTTAACAACTGCAAAAAGATTGATCATAAATGGCATGTAAATGACATATTACTGAAAATTGATGCACAATCAATATGACAAATTTCTGCATGTTTGTCTAAGGGTATTTTGAATAATTGTGTTATTTTCTGTGTGAAAATTCCTCAACTTACCTGGTGTTGGGTCTACTCAAACTGTTCCACAACCATTTGAACAACATTTTTGGAATTCTGCACATGATTCATCATTGTCGCATAGTTGTACACATGTTCCAACTGTATCTTGTTGAACACCAGGGCATTGACCACGTTTGATTACTGTAAGATAAAATATGTTTGCTTATATTGTACATGGATGTGATATGTATGTAAATCCAATGTATTCAGTTTGCCGAACATATTAGATAATCTGGTGAACTGAGTTCCCACCATATATCATATTTTAATTAAACAATCTAATATTCGCCTCGGGCAATGACAGATATTTCATCACAAAATGAAACATGTTACAAACATACTTCGTTTTTTTTACCTTGAATAAACTAATTCAAAAGATTGCCTTACCATAGACACATGTTTAATGGATAAATGATAGTGGGTGACTAGCTAACAATGTAGTCGATTACAAAGAATTGTCTAGCCCCTTCTTTATAAACTTCTTATAGTTTTTGAAAATTGCGGAAACCACTACTTACATGGTTCAGCATCAACACAAACACGTCCACATCCATTACTGCAACATTTCTGGTCTCCATCACAATGTTCATCGCCATTGCACTCTTGTGAACAGATGCCACCCATGCCTGGTTGTATGGCTGGGCACACTCCTTGTTTAGTAACAGGCACAAGATCGACACATACATGCCCACAACCATTGCTACAACATTTCTGGAACTGCGAGCATGAATGATCATTTTCGCAGGAATCACTGCAAATTCCCACATGCCCTGCTGGAACAGCTGGACATTCACCTGGTTTTGGACCTGTCATATAACATATTCATAAATATTATAGCAGGTATTTGCTGGGGTTCTTGAAACAGCTAACATTTAAATGAAAATTATTGCTTGATTTTATAGGGTAGAGAACCAAAATGTGAACAGATTGATATCAACTACTGAAAATATCACACTCACCTGGTTGAGCATCAACACATACACGTCCACATCCATTACTGCAACATTTCATGCTTCCCTCACAATGTGCATCATCGTAGCATTCCATATTGCATGTTCCGGCCTGCCCTTGTTGAACCACTGGGCATACACCATCTTTAACAACTGCAAAAAGATTGATCATAAATGGCATGTAAATGACATATTACTGAAACTTGATGCACACTTCAATCAATCTGACAAATTTCTGCATGTTAGTCTAAGGGTATTTTGGATAATTGTGTTACTGTATGTGCGAAAATTCAACTGTCCTTAACATTTGAAAACGTATTTGTAGGGCTACCATGAAATCAGATAAGTCACCTCCGAGTAAAACATATATTAAAATATACACCTTGCTTTTATCATATGTAAAATTTTCCCCGAAAATATTAACACTATCTTACGTATGTGTGCAAAAAATAACTGCGAGTGATTGATTTACTAACAAAAGAATGGTGTGAATGATGGGAAATAGACTAGACTAGCTCTGCATGAGCTAATTTCTGTTTCCCAGCCATAGATTAATATTATTATTATTTATCAATATTTATTAGTTATTATTTATTGCTGTATTGTTATTTTTTATGTAATCTATGGCAATAAACATTATTATTAAAATGTTCGTATTCACTTCCCCAATTTCTG